TAAAAAATATATATGAATAAATGTTTAACTTGTTGGCTCACTTTGGTGGCACTCATTTATTTTCGAATGTGTTGATTTATTTATTGTTTACAAATGTCTCATATAAAAGGACCACATTACAACCCCAACCAAACCTAATATTATATATTTATTTTACATTTCATTCCTTTGTAACCATAAAGCTATAACTGATTCAGATTTTGTACCTTAGAAGGAAGAGCAGCATAAATAACTAAACTTACAAGTCTTGTCCTTAATCTTAATTGAATTTAGGGCTGTGATTTCTCTAACGTAAATATGCTTTGATTTAAACCATTACTGTGTAGCTTTGGCTGCATGTTTAGTCATTTTGCCTGTGAAAATAAGCCTCAACCTCCAGTCTTCTGAATCTTCTTGCAGGTTTTGTCTGGTCTGTGCTGATAAAAATGACCACAGCATGATGCTACAGCCATAATGTTTAACATACCTACGACTATGACCCCATTTGCCTTTTTTTTTTTTTGCTTTTGGAAAACTATTTATAGGATCTCTTTATGAAAAATCTTTATTTTTAGACTCATTCTAAGGGCTAGATGTATGGTGTTTCTATCTAATTGAAATCCTGTTTTAAGATTTTCCCATCTGAACTGTAAATCTCGGGTTAGTTTCTGCAGGCCTCTTGTCTGCTGGTGTAATTGGTCAGCGGTCCACTGTAAAGCTGGTCATGCTTTGGTAGGTTTTTAAATGCTTAATAATGGATAGAGCTCTGGGAAATATCTAAAGCTTGTGTCAGGAGGAATATTCTTTATAATTTATAAAAAGAGTTGCTTAATACTATTTACACTAACTACAGTATAGATTGTTTTTCCTTCCCACTGTATAATATATAAATTGTATTTTTTTTTATTTCATCGCAAGGTTAGGATAAAAGAATGGGAAAACATGGGAGAGTCTATACAGATATAATAGCTTATATAGATAGTAGTAATAATACAGTTACTCCTCTAAAAGGCCGGCATTTATAAAAGATGACATATGTGATGCAGGCCACTTATAACGTAGGGATTGGACATCACATAATGTCATACCTTATCAGACAGACACCAACTTCGTGTGGCACATGGTTTATTGATATCACTGAGGTCTAAGAATCCAACAGAACTGTTTTTCAGGGATCATCTTCATTCTTTAGATGCCAACATGAACCAGGTGTTCCAAAAATTCTGTACTATTACGCTGCTAAACTTAAGTTCATATCATGCTTAAGCTTATTTTCTGTTTATGAATCATTTACTCAAAAAAGAGTTGCTCTTCAAAGTACTATTTAAAGAGTTATCACTGCAGGCAGTTTTCTAAAGTAAATTTGTTTTTAGCTTCCCTTTATACCTGACCAATCTGGTGTATTTTGTAGTACTCATTGCAATAAGAATACATCAGTGTTTCCTTAAAAACCTTGTTCTATAATGTTACCTGAAAAAAACTCTGAGACTTTCAAAGAAAAGTGGCATTTACACTAGGGTTGTTAAAATATTTATTGGTAAATATAATTCATACTTAAAGATGAGTTATGAAAAGATATTATTTTGGTGTTAAACTCAATACAATCGGAGCCATATTTACCCTTAAAATTGGTTCAAAGCTTCAAAAAGCAGTGTTGCAGGTGTGCAGACTCAGCCACTCCCCTTCCTTATATTAGCTCAATCAAACATTCATGGCTGAGAATAAGAGCAGTTAGATGCTGCTAAGAAAAACACCAGCATGGCTTGTACACCTTGAGAAGAGCTTTTGTGATGCTTTAAAAAGGCAAGTACAATTAAAATTAACCAACAAGAAAAATGTAAAGATGGTTATAACTATCTTTTAAGTACTAAAAGGCTTAACAAAATAGCCCGACCAATTTAGGGAGGCATGTTTCTAACATGTTCTAACAAGTTCACAGAGTATTTTTACCAATACTCTACAATTATCTACATTTTATAAATAAAGTGAAGAAATATTTCAGCATGTTAATATTAATACATATATGATCCTTTTATCACCATACAGTAACAGAAGAGTACACACACTTGTTATGGCAGTATTACAAGAACAAAAATGACACAAAATCACAATATTCTTATCCTTATCTTATCTAAAATTCCAAAAGAACACAGAGGCAGATTTGTTCAGCATGAAAATATGTATCAGATAAATAAATGACTGATTTACTTACTTTACTTTAAACTAAGATAAACTGTGGAAAAGGCACAATAGTGGTCTGTAATAGAGGCATATATCCTT